ACGTGATCCCTTGTCCTGTAACCCCGGGCTTAGCCTACTGTTCCCCCCGTTCTAGCTAGTTAACTCTATTTCCAATTCTATAATTATAACACTAGTTTACTTCTAGTTAGTACTATTATATCTCTATAATAATCTATAAAACTTATAGTATATAGTATCTATAACTTAATAAAGGTTTCTAGAAAACTTTTATAGAGCTAGCTCTTCTAGGTATAGCGTAATAAGAGATAGAAATTTAAAAAATTTCTTTCTAGAGTTTTCTTCTCTAACTATAGATATATATAAATAATCTAGCTATATAAAGTTATATACTATAAGATTATATATACTATAAGTCTACTATATATTTAGAAGTAATTATTTTAAGATAGTTTTAGTATATTTCTCTCTTTCTATACTATACTACTAAAAAGACTTTACTTTTAAATAACTACTTAAAGCTACTATATTATTAGATTATAAGCTCTATATAGTTAAAGTCTACTATAATTTATATAATAATAAGTTTTATAGCTAGATTACCTATATATATATATATATAGTTAGAAGAGAAAACTTTAAAGAAAATTTTTTTTAAGTTCTATCTCTTATTACGCTATATCTAGAAGAGCTAGCTCTATAAAAGTTTTCTAGAAATCTTTACTAAGTTATAGATACTATATACTATAAGTTTTATAGATTATTATAGAGATATAGTAGTACTTATAAGAAGTAAACTAGGTTTTTTCTTAAAAGCTAGTTAAATACGTATAGCTTTTTAATTATATAATCTATTTTAGTATAACTTTAGTATAAGGTATAATATACTATAGAGAATATATATATAAACTTTTATAGAAATATATTAAGGTTTTACTTAGTTATTTAAGAAAAACGAGTTAATTTTCGTTAATTTTTGTTGCTAAGAAATTGTAAGGCGTTTAGTAATATAGAGTGTTTACTAATAAAGTACGTTATCTCTTATTACGCTATACCTAGAAGAGCTAGCGCTATAGAAATTTTCTAGAAACCTTTATTACATTATAAATACTATATACTATAAGTTTTATATATTATTATAGTAATATAATAGTACTAACTAGAAGTAAAATAGATTTTTCTTAAAAGTTAGTTAAATACGTATAGCTTTTTAATTATATAATATATCTTAGTATAACTTTAGTATAAGGTATAATATACTATAAAGAATATAGATATAAATTTTTATAGAAAAATATTAAGGTTTTACTTAGTTATTTAAGAAAAATAAGTTAATTTTCGTTAATTTTCGTTACTAAGAAATTGTAGAGAGTTCGATAATATAGAGAGTTTAATAATAAAGTATATTATAAAAAAGTATAGTAAAAAGAAAAGAAAAATTAATAGATAGATATTCTACTTATTAATAAGTTATCTACTATTAGTAATAATAATAGTAGAGTAGTATTATATAGCTAAATAGTCTAGTAATAAATAGTACTAGTAGTAATTTATATAGCTAGTAGTAATAATAATAGTAGAAGATATAAAATAAGTAAATTATTATAGTATAGTAGTAGTTAGTAGAATACTAGACTTATAACTTATTAAAGTAATAAAGTAGAGTATAATATTATTAATTATATAAGAGCTAAAAGCTCTAGCTATATACACTAGGCTAGCGCGATTACGTAATTAACACGTGATTCTTAATAGTAAACAATACGTTCTAGTTCTTCTGCTAGGTGCCGTATAGCGGCTTCCGCCAACACCTCTATAATGGCGTCCATGCTGACCGGCGAGGGACCTAGGCAGCGTGCGGAAGCGGTAGCCCGTGTTCTATTTCTTCTCAATCGAGCTTCTTATGCACGAAGCGGATATCTAGATACTAGCTCGAGCGGCTCTATTAGTCTACTTGCCTAGGGAGATTTGGATACCGCCATATTTATCTTCGTCATCGTTGTTTTCTTCTCCGCCGTGGCCGTGGCCGCTAAGCTCTACTACGATGCGTTAGCAGAATGGGTATTAGTTAGATAGGTAGGCCCTGCGGTCTAGACTAGTTGCTGGGGAATAAGGGCAGAGATAGCCTCGCACTGCTCTACGTTACTGGCAAACCTGTCTCGTCCGGCGTATCGCGTTCGCCTTTAGATCGTGAGACTTATAGTAGTTGAGCAACTCCATGTCGGCGTCAGGAGCGCCCGCTGATGTATTGACGTCCCGGACGCCGAGGCTGCCCCTGCAGAGTTGGGCGAAGGGAAATGGGTGCTATCTAGCAGTTAGAGTCATCAATCTTCGGAAGGCAATAGATTCCCACATCTCAGATATTCCGTTTGGGCGCTCCCAAGAGAAGATAGTGGTTCAGGTTCGCACGCAAAGACTCAAGAGTCGCCATATGAGCCGTCATGACGATGCAGGCAGAACTCAGGTTCGCCGAGAAAGAAGAAACCTGCACGAGAAACGAGTAGGATCGTAGGAGCATTGCAACGGCTTTGAACTGCTTCAACTTTTAGGCAACTATCCATGCAAAAGGAGTCTAGATAGGGCGCGGGAATACTCGCCTGCAGCTGTTTCGCGGCAGAGCGGCATCCGGATCGCCTGCTTCGAATGCCGCGTCTGTGGTGCACAATAGATGCCCTGCCGTCTGTAGTCCGCGATCAGTTATCCCGGACGAGGTAGCATTCTTACTTTCTAACCACAGAAGGTAGGCTATTATATGCCTAGAGCAGCATCTTCGTTTGCGTTTGGCTAAGTAGTATATCGCCATGTCGTATACAAATCTCACGCTAGACGCTAAGTGAGAGGCGTTGGGGTCTTCAACAATGGGAGGAAGTATAATGAAGCCGGAGTGTGATACGTTCGTCGGCATCCGCTTCGATATGTTAAGGTCTTGCCCCCATGCTTCTGCTCAAGAGGATAAATCCAGCGGTACATCTAGCGCATAGCGATCTAAACATGCGACACTGGAGCTTAGTATGCTTTGCTTACTGCTGTTATCCGTTGGGCCCTGTTGAGTAAATGCTGGGGAGATGCGCCTCTACGGTCTAGTCGTGGTCCAAGCTCTGCGTATACTGAGGGATTCTTTAGGGTTGTTAGTTTGGTGACACTCTTCTAGTTCCGCACGGTAACTTATTAAAGGTTCCCCTCGTTAGAACAATGCTCTTGTTACTAACTAACTATTTTGCACCTGTTCTACTAATCGGTTGTAGATGCTAGTAGACGAGTGACCGTCGCATCAATCCGTTACGCGTTACTATTAACTGATTGCTCTCTGTAAGCAACCTGATCTAACGAAGTGCTAAGTGCTTTAGGAGTTTGCTTTTCATGATCGACAAGACTGCAATAACGGAGAGTAGAATTCTGATTTTACTTGCATTCTACAACGGGTATCCCTAATATGCGTTGGCTTCCTGGTATACTCGGATAATCATGTTGAATGATATTTTCAGTTGTATGGGCCGTAAACTCCTGGTCGCACGTCTCCGGCTCTAAAGACGATGGACTTGAACTGGTCCAGTCTATCGCGGTGCGGTTCGATGAACTTAAATGCTTAATGGCATAGGAATAATTGCATGGTGTGGCTGCGTCCGCACATATCCCACTTTGTACCGTTGTATTTGAGCACCGCTCGCCGTGCGAGGACCGATGTGGTGTGGAGGTCTTGGATAATCCGAAGGTAGCTTCGCGCATAAACACGACTGACCTTTGTTGTTGGAGCTGCGCGTTGAATCCAAGGTGCCCTTAGCTGTAGAAGAGGAGCTATTATTAAGGTGTGTAGTGTCTACACAGCGGAACGTGTGAGCGGCAAAGGTGGTGGTTGAGGTGGAAACGATGGCTTTCTCCGCTACGTTAATATTACTGTGCACATAGTGGCGGGTATACATACCAGCCCTGCGCGAACGTGCACTACGGGGTTCCTAGAGCACTCCTTGGTCGGCACATCTCGCGTTAGTAAAGAGCCTTAACGGAGGAGCTTGCGAATGGGCAGTTTAACTTCCTCGTTCTTCTAGGAAGAGCCGCTCGGCAAGCGAGCCCCAACATCCATACTAGTAGTATCGGCGCAGGCCTGGACAGGCGCAGGAGGAAGACTGAATTTCGCGATGCCGATGTGGGTCCTCGGAGGCGCCGCCTCCAAAGCTCCAATTTTTGCGTCCGGCGTCGCGGAATTATCGTGGCTGCTAGACGCGTTGAGGTGGTGATAGGTGGGCAGAGCCCAGACCCTACGGCGACGGCGACTATGGCTTCGCCATAAAGGAGTATGAAGGACTCGCGGAGACACGGTTGAGAGGAGGATCGTAGAGGGAGGGAGGGAGGGAGAGAGGAGCTTGTTCACCGTTTTCGAGGGACAGGGTTCCTTAAACATGGCCCGCTCGACAGCACCTTCTCCAAGATCAGATTTCACGGCAGTAGTGTCCAGCGCCATGACATGACGGCTAGGAACAAGAAGACGTGCGTAGAAAGGGTTAGCAGGCGCAAAGCGTCACGAGTATTGCAGTTCCGGGGCGATGGTACATCGCGTTGTGCCACATTCTCTATCAGAGTCTATAATTAGTCTGAGGAGGTGTTCCGCCTACCTAAGCGCAAGAACAAGATGCGCACCTTCGTCAGAGCGCCCAGTTCTGATACCACCTCCGCCGCCACATCTGGGTCTGTCCTACCATAGGTCGTTCTCGCATGCGGTCGGGATTTCGGCCGCGCAGAAGGACCAACAGCCTAGTGCGAGGTACCGAGGGGGGGTAGGGGCTGCAGCGGTCGAACGCGGTCGGGAATTTCGGCGGCACAGAAGGTACCCAGCGTTTTCGGCGAGGCTCAGAGATGGTCGGGACTGCAGCGCGGGGCTTGATGACTAGCTGTGTGACGTTTGCTGCTTTATCGGGAGACGGCTGGGCCCCGTCGTGTGAGCGCCGAATGGCGTTGACCGCGACACGACAGACAGCAAAAGCTGTATGCGTAGTGACAAAGCATCGTGACTAGTGGCCAGTGCAGCGGAGTAGCGGAGTGAAGAGCGCATGACGACGGTCGCAGTAGAGATCCATCATTCCGAACTAGATACAACGAAGGCAATCATCGTCGGGGTGATTTCCCCAGACGCGTTCCCGCTGCCCAATGGCCACCATTTCACCCTTGACTTGATCAGGCTCGAGCTCTAGCACAACAACCTCATTCACCTGATTCCCAGCTTTGATCACCGTACCGGGGAGGTACAGCGACTGCTGCGGACCTACACGCCAGTAGCGACCGAGGTGAAAAGCGTTCACCCAGACATTGCCCTTCACGCCGGCGGGAAGCGCCAGGAACGTATCAAGCTCGGCTGGGTTTGTCGTGGTCGGCTTATCAATCTGGAATGTACCGTGGTAGAAAAGCGGAGTAGAGGAAGCCGAGACATTGGCTGAGGCTTTTCGAACACGGGAGACGTCATCAAGAGGCAGGGTGTACATGTCCCAGCCCTCCAAAATGGTACTGTTCAGCTTGACATCACCCACTATGCCCTTGTATGGGTCCTGCAGGTAGTTACGATACGGATTGCCGCGCGAGTAGTAGTCGACCCTGCCAAGATTTTCCACGAGAAGCTGCAACTTGCTGCCAGGGGATAGATCAACGTCAACGTCCAGTGGGTGCTGGTATTGACTGTCGATGACGCCTTGGCGGATGCCGTCCACGAAGACGAGAACGCGGTCTCGGGCTCGATCTCCGGGCTGGACGTGGCCCTTCACGAAGCTTGTCGCTGTATGTTCGTAGAGAGTGAAGCCGTACGCTTGGCCGAGGGTTTCCATGGCCAATGTTTTTCTGCCGGTTTTCTTATCACCTTTTATATCAAAGAGCGCCACAGCTGGAGAAAGACTGAACTGCGGAATTTCCATTCGAGGGAGATCTTCTGGCACATCTGGAATACTGCCTGCTGTGACGTATTGCTGGATCGTATCTCGAAGGGCATGGTACAGGTCATTTGTGCGACCGCTCTCGTCGATGGGAGACCCGTAATCATAGCTCGAGGTGAAAGCGGTCGTCCGGTTCTGCCACAGTGCACCATTGCTGAACCCAAAATTGGTGCCGCCATGAACCATATAGAGGCTGATGGAGGCGGACTCATTGCCGATGACATAGTCAAGGTCATTTACGAATTGCTGCACCACCTCAGGCCGACCCTCGGTAGTGTTGTGCGTGTTGGACGAGCCCCACTGGTCTGGCGCCCAGGTATAGTACTCTCCGTCAAGCATCGGCCCCTGCCGTGAGGGGTCTGTGACATACTTGCGCAGTGCCGCAAAGCCGCTCCATGGGTCGCCGTCGATCTCGGCGAGCACACCGGGGACCGAGCCGCCCTCTATCGTCCAGTCAACCGTGCCGTCGTTGGTGTAGAGCACGGCGTCAAACGTCTCGCGAAGGATGTCTCTGATGGCGGCTGTGTAGTTGTGGTCGGCTCCGAACGAGCCATACTCATTTTCGACCTGGATCATCAGGATCGGACCGCCCTGGCTTACTTGGAGAGAGCCCAGGTCTTTGGCCAGGCTCTGCAGATACGACTTCGCAGCTGCCAGGAAGGGCTCGTTGTACGCCCGAGCGAGCATGCCGGGAATGCTCGCGAGCCACGCCGGAAAGCCGCCCCACTCCCGCTCGCCGCAGACGTAGGGGCCCGGTCGCAGCACGACATGCAAGCCCTCCTCCTGCGCGATGCGGAAGAAGGCAGCGATGTCGTTTTCGCCCGTGTTATTCCACGCGCCCTGCACCGGCTCGAGCATGTTCCAGAACACGTAGGGAAAGACGGTGTTCAGGCCCATCGCACGCGCCTTCCTCAGCCTATCGCGCCAGTATGAGCGAGGAATGCGCTGGGGATCCATCTGGCCGCCGATGATCTGGTATGGCTCGCCATTGAGGAGAAAGTGCGTGCGGTCGTACGTGAAGGACGGGGCGGCGGCGGGCGAGGCGGGCGACGGCGAGAGAATGGCCCAGCCGCCAACTACAAGAAGAGTCAGTATCGCGCGAAGCTTCATGTTCGCCGTCTCCCGCGGCGTGGCAGCGTAGAAGGAGAGTTTGCGTACACAGCGCATCCGCCGCTCTCTTGACTGCATCCTCGGCCGTTATCGAGCAGGCGCTATGCGGAAGCCGCTTCTATGAGCGGCGGAACAATCAAGAGGCTATGCTACATAGCGCAATAATTGACATTGCCGTGCAGAATAGGCACATAGGGTTACATTGAGAGAAGAGGGGGATAGCTATGTGGGACGATGCGGGGCCGTCGGCACCACGTGACCTGTTGCCCCGCGCTCCCGCCCGAACAGCCCCCGGAAGTCACAACGGCTGAGACGCCGTCTCTTCGTCGTCGCAACATGCAGCAGCGCTCGCCTTGGATGCCATGGGAAGCGGTCCTTCGTAAGGTCCGGGGTCGCCAGGATGCCATGATTGGGTTGTGGAGGCGGCATGGTTCCTGGCTGGGCTGCAGGAGCCACCAAAGCCACCAGAGTTATCACCAGAGTCATCACCAGCAGCTCCCTCGTCGACCACTGAAACTCGAGCCCCTGTCGAACTGGCCAAGAATGCCGTCACGGCCAGCATATCAGCGCGAAAAGCCGGTGAAGCCGGGGTGCGCGACTCGAAGTCTGCTGTCGAGCTGGTCAGCAAGCTTTGCAGTAGTGCACAGAGGTGGGCAAACGATGTTGAGCAGGAGCTCGAAAAGAAGCGGAAGCTGGACGAGTCCTTCTGCCAGAGCATTGCACTAGTCACAGCCTAATTGGGGAAGTTGGATGGAGACCATGATCCGACGCAGTCGGGAGAAGAAGTGATACCTCTGGATACCGTACTGTCACCGTACCAAACGCGGTCGGACTGGTGCAAAACGCATATCAAGCACCTTGAGAAGAGGGCTCGTCGCGCTATCTCTGGCACACATGCCCTCCTCCAGCTGTGCAATGCCTTGGTGGTCGAGGTGGAGACGTAATCTAGGGAATATCAAAATGCCATGTCATGCCATGCCCATAACTCCACCTACCATCCACCCAGAGATCCCAGGATTCATAACCGCACCTTCAAGCTGCAAGCACCTCAAAGAACAAACGTCCAAATGAAGAACACACGCATTCAATTATGCCTTCACCGCTTCAGTGGAGACTGAGCGGAGACTGAGCGGAGCGTCGACGGGATTTGCTGAGCTATGTTATGCACGCAAAATAATGCAATTCTCCTCTCTTTCTTATGAATTCTGAGTCATCACCGTGCAGCGAATTTGATGTGGAAAGTCCGCCGGCAAGAAACCCTTGTGCAAGGCACGTGATCCAAGTCGCCACCCGGTTTGGACCACCCTGCCAAGGCGCTACTCGGCAGAATCAATAGCATTTTACCGGCGGTGACCGGATTTGTCTTAGCCTCAAGGTTGGCCCAAAATCGAAAACTGGGTGGTCCAGATCAACACACACCCCCCACCAAGCCCAGCAGAAATATTCCCAAATCCTTCTCCTGCCTTCACGACGCGCGCGCGCGCAGTTTTCCTAATGCGAGTTAATCGTAACGTTCTTAACGCAAGTCAGACCGCCGAGAAGCGCTGGCTTATGTTCCTCACCTCATTCGATCATACAGATGACCGTAGGTCCCGTGTCGAAGAGATTGCATCACATCATCGGCAGGGAAAGGTCTGTAGAGTAATCCAACGGCTTCAAGGAGCGTTCAATTACTGTTTCAGGCTTCGCTTCGACGAGGACGGAGAGGAATGGATTCTCCGCTTTCCAGTACCAGGAAACACCATGAACCCACTAACCAAGGCTCAAAATGAAGTTGCCGTCATGCACTTTCTTAGAGAGAAGACGACAATACCTGTTCCGAAAGTGATAGCCTTTGGTGTGGCTACGGGCGATTTTGTCGGTCTTGGGCCATACATTATCATGGAATTCGTCGATGGGATTCCTCTGGACGATGTGCTTCTGGACGAGAAAGATGGGAGGCTGAGGGACGTCTCCGACTCGGTTATTGAAAAAATTTACAGGCAAATCGCCCGCATCTATCTTCAGCTCTTTACCCACAGCTTTCCAAAGATAGGTGCGTTGTCCATGGAAGAAACAGAGTCGGATCGCGTGTGGCCTGTTACATCGGGACCGTTGACTTTCAAAATGAACGAGATAGAGAGGATGGGAGGAGTGAGAGTTGGAGGTTGGTCTTCTTATCGCAGATTGGTTCATGCTCTGACAGACATTCCGCAGCTTCGGATGGACCTTTTGACTCTACCATCGATTATTTCAATGCTCTGGCGGAACAGAGCTTGGTTCATCTCCGCAACAATCCGTTAGCCAGCCAAGACGAAGAAGAAGCACGTGATGACTACAAGTCTATCTATACACTCAAGCTGATGGCTAAGCACTTTGCTGCCAAACACGACACTCTGTTCCGGCTATTCTGCGATGATCTGCGATTTGGAAATATCCTTGTGGACAAATCGTATACGATTGTCGCAATCATTGACTGGGAATTCTGCTACGCTGCCCCGGCCACTTTCCTCTGCTCTCCGCCGTGGTGGCTTACGGGAACCGAACCGTTCGAATGGAGTGACCGTGATCTGGAAAATTATGACGCAAAATTAACAGTGTTCCTTGAGCTACTGGAGGAGGAGGAAGGTCGCTATGAGCTCGGGCACACCCTCTCTAGTCTGATGCGAGAATTCAGGCAGGACGGAACTTTCTGGTACAATCTGGCGATCCGGGAAAGCTTTCCATTAGCGGAAGTTATGAAACATTGCTTGGATACAAAACCTTTCCAAAATCTCCAATCACCGGATGATCTGGAAGAGTTCAGCAGATGTAAAATGAATCAGCGCCAGGAATACGAAAATTTCATGCGCACCAGGGAGGCAAATAAAAGAGACGGGCTGGATATCAATCAACTGGGACGAGAGAATGATGGGATAGCTCTTTAGCACAATATCAACACAAGATCGACAAAGAAATACGGCGAAGCCACTGATTCACTCGTTCACTCGTTCAATCGTCCAATTGACACGGAGAGGAGATGCGTTGCATGCGGCGGCAATATTTCCATTTTTAGGGCCCAATGACATGGCGCAACGCCCGGCCTATACGAGCCCTCCCCAAGCCAATTCCACCGGCAGATTCCTAGATAAGAATACCCCGTGCCGGCCCCTATCGCGCATCCCTCTGGACGATATGTACCGTACATGGAGTCCCACCCTCAAAACTACAGCGCTTACGACCCGGGCTTTGCGGTTCAGGGTCTTACTATGGATCCTACAATGGGGTTTCAAACAGAGCGCGCGGATGAAGCAGGGCTGGTCCAATGGTCGGGTGAGAGTGTTGGCATGTATGCATTTTCAGCCGTACCACCGGAATTGCCCTTGAGAAACACGCGATGATCTTGCAATATCGGTACGAGGATGATCTACATAATCTCTCCGCGCCGCCGTGGACTGTGTACGGTTACTATTGCTCGCTCCATCCCCGCTTTGGGGACCAGAGTGGTGACGTCTTAGTCCCTAGCGACGCTAACCTTGATCCGGGTTGTACCTTGATGGACACAATCGCAAGGTATATAGATCGGATCATCCAGCTCCATGGTCCCAGATCTGGTTCCTGGATGACGGCGATCCGGTTGTTTGACATTGTTCCAGAACCTCTTGACGCAGTAATGCACGACTCCCTTGCACGAGTACCAAGTCTTCGGGATCTGCGGTGGGCTCCCCCTGCCATGGAGAACTTCCGGTCTATATGAGTGTTCTTTTGAGCGAAGTTGTAACTGCTGATAGCGTGTAGCTTCTAGACTCCAGAACCCCGAAGGTATGCCTCATTATTGGGATGAAGATGGAAGAGACAAGGGACAGACCATGTGACCGCGGCTCTATCAACGCACAGACCACCATGACGAAATACACAGTAGATTGCGAATCGGTGATTGTCCCCATCAAGCGCGTTCCGTCGGCATCAACACGGGTCTCCAGAGCCACGAGAGTAATCTAGAAGACAGTTCTCTCGTGTCTGCCTGGCGTTCCTCGGAGACAGCGAACCAATGCGCTTTCACCGACTACAACACGCCGCGCCAGGCCGCCTTCTGGTAAATTCGCCAACACCAAGAAAACGCGCGGGGCCGTCCGCCACGGCGCTCCTCACGAATCACAGGCCCGCAAACTTACACGTTCACGCCAAGCACTTCCGCCAAGCTTTACCCGCTCGCATCCCACCTTACACCAACCTTCGTTCCAGCCCCAAAGAGGCAGCTCCTCCATCTTCGCGCATGACAGGCACGCCGGAACCACAGTAGCGGGAGGTACTGCTCGACCCGGCTGCTGGAGAGCAGTGGTAATCCAGCAGTGACAGCGCAGGAAAATGCCACGAGGACAGCTACTCGCGTCCACGGTTGTCCCAGGGACCGTGTATGCGGTGGCGGCGATTGTGCGAGCCTGGTTAATGAGGGGCAGTCGGCTGGGATTTGGGATTTGGGATGGAGCCGGTAACCGTATGCAGGTGCAAGGGCCCTGGAACGAACTTATAAAGGGCTGCATATGCAGTTTCTCCGAAGTTTTTGGACGCGTCGCGGGCTCTCACTCTTCGACTCCCAAGGTTTCCAAGCTCAAATTATGGCGTCTATGAGGTCAATTGCTGCTGCGGCAGCTCTGCTTGTGAGTGCTGTGTCTGCACAATCCTTCCAGCGCCTGGGAACCTGCCCTACGCTTGGTAAGTAGCTGAACTCTGAGTTGAAAGCTCCAGGGCTCCAGCTAACAGAAGCTTCAGGATGCGTCTTCCCGCCGGACCAGTAAGCAATTGTATCTGCCGAAGCTCAACAGGAGCACCCACTGATCGATGCATGATAGAGCCGACTTCCTCGCCGGCCAGTACTTCGACATCCGTCTAGAGGTCCACGCCCCACAGAACGGCTCTGAAGCGATCGGTTTACCGTTAGACGAGGCCTTCACATTTACCATCGCCAAGGGAGATGGCGAGGCTAAGCCTGTGACCGAGTTCTTCGGCATCGAGGAGGCGGAGCTTGAAAAGTGGAACTTCACTTGGTACGAGGGTGGGTCGACTAGAATCAAAAAACTTAGCCTGGAGACTGATTACGATGCAGACCTCTTTGCCCGCGATGCGAAGAAGCCTTCGGTCGTGGACGTGGCTGCTAAGGCCTACCGAAGACTTGCTCTCTACGAGCCGGGCGAGTACACCGCAACGCTGCACTACAACAATGGTAGCGCTACCACCGCAAACTGGTTCGTCCGCGACCTAGCCGAAGAGCGCAAGGCGAAGAACATCATCCTCTTCATTGGAGACGGCATGACCACCAACATGATCACGGCAGCCCGCTTGATCGCTCACAAGACCATCAACGGAAAGTATCAGAGTCTAATGCAGATGGACAAATTCCCGGTTCTTGGACATCAGATGACGCATTCGATCGACTCGTTTATTACCGACTCTGCAAATTCTGCTTCCGCACTGTATACCGGCCACAAGAGCAGTGTGAACTGCTTGGGTGTATACGCCGACTCTAGCAAGGACCCCTTCGACGATCCCAAGGTTGAAACCATTGCCGAGATTTTCCACCGACTCACCGGTGGACACGTCGGCATCGTCTCGACCGCCTACATCGCCGACGCCACGCCTGCTGCTCTTACAGCCCACACCCGTGCACGAAGCGAATACGGCGCCGTCGTTGACTCCTTCCTCAACGGCATTACCAACTATACTTGGACCAAGTGGGACGGCCCGGATGTTCTCTTTGGCGGAGGCGCCGAGCAATTCTACTCTCCCGAGCTAGGCGGCGAGACGTACCAGGAGAAGGACTACTACGCCGAGTTTGCTAAGAAGGACTACAACGTCCTCTGGAACCGGACTGCCCTTCTGGCTGCCCCCTCAGACGAGAGGGCACTCGGGATCTTCACCGTTTCGAACATGGCTAAGTGGCTCGACCGCAACGTCTACCGCAGCAACCTCAACCAATCGCTCCACCCCTCCGGCGACGAGTCCCCCGCGCTCGATCAGCCAGGCCTCAAGGAAATGACCCTTAAGGCTATCGATATTCTACAGGCACGCTCGGGAGACAAGGGTTTCTTCCTCATGAGCGAAGCCGCCTCTATCGATAAGATGATGCACGTCCTTGACTACGACCGCGCACTTGGCGAGCTTCTGGAGCTTGACGACACCATCAAGGCTACCGTACAGAAGCTTAACGAAACCGGCTGCCTCAAAGAGACCCTCATCCTGGTCACGGCTGACCACGGGCACGGCTTCGATGTCATGGGCTCCGTGGATACGACGTATCTCATGGCGCAGAACACGGACCGCAAGAAGCGCGACGCAGTTGGCACGTATCAGAACTCAGGTCTCTCACAATACATCAACACCGGTAACCTTACATATACCGACAGCAACTTCCCCTCTAACTGGGATCCCCGCTACACGCTCTTCCAGGGTCTAATGGCCGACCCCGACCGCCGCGAGACGTGGTCTGTTCGCAAAGACGGACCTCGCGAGCCCGCTGTCGAGCTCGAGGAGGATTCCGAGGACTTCTACGCCAACCCTGAAGATGGCGAGGGCGGCATTCTGCTGAATGGCACGCTTCCCGTCGAGAACGACCAGGGCGTGCATTCGCTCACCGACGTGCCTGTCTTCGCCATGGGGCCGTGTCAGGAGAAGTTTATGGGCGTGTTCAACAGCATTGATATCTTCTTCAGCATGGCGGAGTGCTTTGGGCTGGCGAGGGGGACGCCTTCGTAGTGGAGGGTTGACTTGATGAGCGATGATACATGATGAGGTGAGAATGTATATACACGTAGATAGTTATCCGGATATGAATGGTTAGTGGTACTGCATCTCACAAGTGGAGAGAAGAGCGCGTGGTTGAAGAAAATGGACAGTATGACCCGACTATATTCTCGGACACGCCTAGGTCCCAGGGCCAATCCAGCCCTTCTCAGAGAAAAGAATAGGCTCTCCTTGCACCATTATCTGCACATACTTGTGGAAGTCTCACAATTCCTCAGCAATCCGGTCTAATTGGTGTCCGGCGATATAGTCGGCTGCTCGCGGGGCATCCTTCGATGGACATCGCGCAAAAGGCTGGGAGCAGATCCAGGAAATGAGCATATCATACGCCTCATCTGTGTAGGGTACCTCAATCTTTGACACTATAGGCGTGTTAAGTGTCAATATTGTCGCTAAGGATGGACGCACTGACAGAAGTAGGTTTCCAGCAACGTCCCCAAATATTCCAAAGCATTCTTCCCGAACAACAGAAGCAAACCGCCGATGCAAAGCGCCCGACTATAGATGCTTGGGCCGCCAGTAAGAAGGGACCAGGCAGGGGTGGTTGCAGGGCCAAGGCCGGGGAAGAAGAGGTCCAGAAGGGGCATCTGATCGAATAGGAAAGATTGATTGTGGGTAGGGCTCGCGTTTCCAAGTGAACCCATATTGGAGAGTGCTTTGAGCGAGTGAGTTGGCAGAAGGGCGTAGGAGTGAATTGATACGCTTGAAGATACCTTTCTCGACGGGCGAAACGGCAGCTCTTATACCCTTGGAGCGCAGCCAGCGGACCGTTCCGAGCTAACCAATGTGATATCAAATGAACATTGCATCCATGCATGGCCGGATAGTCGCAGCTGGAGCAGTTCATACCCCGCAGAAAGTGGCTGTATGTTTGAGGGGTGCATATTGGCAAGTATCTATTCATCGGTACCCCCGGAGTAAACACGTGCAAGCTCTGAAGGCGAACTTACCTGCGCAAGCTTACCTTTACAAGCTTACCTGCACAGCTTCCAATCTGGCTATCTTACCCCTCGTAGGCTTTGGGGAATATATGCGGTAAGTATCACGATCGCACAGGATGGGCTCAGTCATAGTCTGCCACGTCGTTTGAATGTCGTAGAGGCATTTGTGCCCAACAGTCGTCCGGGTTGTTGTCGGGCTCTGCCCCACCTTCCACCATCACGCGCCCTCGCCTCAAAGTCTCGGATTTCTACTCTTGACTTGAACACCAACATCGACATATCTGTCAAGCTCGGAAGTTTCTATTGGAGACGTCGTCGAGGAGATCGGGTGTAACTGACCTGCAGCCGACGCGCATCGGGATCTGTGTAGGCGAGTGCTGGTCGGAACCTACTTGTAGGTCTCGGTAGCCCCACCCAACTCGCAGCAATACCACGAAGAGAGATTCAGAATGAGTACTGGGAGCCAGCACCTAAGGAAGAGGAACTATCACAGCTCCTCCGACATTCAGTGCCGCTGCCGTCCGCCAGGCGCAAGCCGTTTAGGCTACCATCCTCGTCACCCACCTCTTTGCGATTAGCGTCGCCTGATGTCTAGGCGAAGTCTGCCTGACGCAAGTCTGCCCCATACAACCTCCTCACCGCCGCCGCGATGGGCAAATGCAGCAGACCGCAGACGGTAATTGGTGCACTGCGCGTAACCGCCTGCACCGTTGATGCCTGGAGCAACCCCGCTCTTTAGCCGCCATTCTATCCACAAAGTATAAGGTCGTATTCCGTCACGCGAACCTCTTCACATTAAATCTATATATCCTAAAGTGTTGCTCTATTCCTTCCCCCAAAGTTACCTCTCTAGTATTTTTTCGTTAGAATGCCCCCCCTCAGGCCAGTTAACATTGATGATGCCAACTTGGCCTATTACTACACCGTCTAGCAGACATCATATGGGCCATACTATCGGCTCAACCAAATCAAAGATGACTTCCCCGCAGGTTTCTATGGCTCAGAAAGGCTAGTATAGTCGCCTCATGTTTAGCTGTAACTAAATCTTTGTGTATAGGGATGCAGGGCGTAGACAGACTACGACTGCAGCGGTAACTGCCCCTGGACTGACTACTACTACTGCGAGTCAAAGTAGTCCTAGCTGGACATCCAAGCCTGTCTCGCATTTCAGAGTCGTGGCGCATACAATGGGACCGGTAATGCAGGGTGGACAATTAAGTCAGAACCACTGGACTATATACATGCTTACGAGCACGACGGGGTCTGTCCAGCTTAACATGCAGCACGCCGACACTGTCTCCGACCGTGGTAAGCTTGTGGTTAAGGAGCATGCCTATATCCAGTCGAATACGGCAGTACAGTTCTGGGATATTCCTGCATGCGCAAATGTTCTCGCTGGTAAGGTTTATGACTTTATCCTGACTAAAAGACGGCACAAATACAACATGGCCGAAGGTGGAGTAGGGTGCCGTTGGTGGGTGTAAGTTGTCTCCCATTTATATCAAGTTATCTGGATCGGCTGACGACGGTAGGCTTACTGTCATGAGAGACATTGCTGAGAGCGGGTTTTCGGAGGGAAGCAGTGTAGAGCAGTTTCTACCCAATTTGTCGTATAATTACTCCAGAGGTGTAGCACCTATTGCTTTAGCGATGAAGCAGGGTAGCTTCTATTAGATATGAATTTGAATTTGTTGAGTTACAGCCACCATAAAATGTTGCTTGCTTGCAGATTTCACCAATCCGTCCCGCCGTAGCCAACAACTCTATTAGCGCAATAGTATGCTAAAAAACCCGCTGTTTTGTTACGAGCTGTCCTCTTGACTGAGACCGAGGCTTACTTCCGTAAGGGGAGGCAAGGGGTGTGCTTCGGACACGGATTATTCAGTGACAAAGGGGTAGAGGCAATGAGACTGTAAATCGCAGGTCGCAGTAGCAATTTATCAATAACTACGAGGAGCCATAAGGAGCGAGCTCCTCTTCGTTATATACAGGCGCCCCTTGGCGCGATCCCACCTGATCCCACCGCTCCCGTCCGGGATCACCGGGATCCACGGGATCACCCCTTAGCGTGCTCCCGTCCTGATCCCATCCTCGTGACCGGGATCACTTCCCTTGGCGGGATCACAGTGCGTAGTCCCACGTGACCTCTCACGTGACCGTTCCCGCTCCGTAGTCCTTCTCTCTGATCTGCCTTTGGAGCGGTCCTTCGTCTGGTCGATCCTGTGATCGTGACATGTTTGTTAATCTTTTTCGGGCTGTTAAACGATTTGTGGAGCGAACGCAAGCCGCGCTCGATCTGGTCTACCGCTATTATGTAAGCGGCCTTACCTAGTTTAAAGGTCTGGCGCGGCGAAGCTTCTGCTGCGGCCTGAGCACTTTTCACACCAATCCCCCAACATGCCGACCGACACGGAAACCACCATCCCTGAGCCCAGCGAAACTCTACTGATTCAAATGTGCGAGCGTGCACCCCTGATCGCTGGTTCATCTTTCGGTAATCGAACCGTCCGGCTTTCTGATACTCTTGTTGCAAAGTATGGCATGGGCGTTTGGATTGAGGAGGCAAGAAATCAGGAGTATGCTCACGCCCACGTCGATAGATCAATACTGCACGTTCCAAGAGTTCTGCGCTATTTTGAGGATAGCTCACAAGGTTCAAGAGTTGGGTATTTAATCATGGAGTACGTTCACGGTACACCTCTCAATTCCATGGAAATAAATGTCCCTACTATGACGACTGTTGCGAAAGCCATTAATCATCTCTCTACCATACCAGTTCCAGAAAGTCAGGGCCCTGGTCCTATTGGGCAAGGTGTGGCTCGGGGCTATTTATGGCCGCCAGAAGGTGTAATCTTTACCGCCTTCGAAGACATGGAAGCATGGTTGAATAGCCGATTAGCTGTGGTCTGCGAAGAACGACTTAACTTGTCTTGCCCTCTTGCCATGCGCCGCATGGATCTGGTCCGTCGAAATATCATCCTCAAGGCGGACATGTCGGTATGTTTTCTGGACTGGGCCTTTGCTGGATTCTACCCAGAGCTATTTGAGATACGATATCTTCGAGACCTTCTTCCTGAGGACCCTATCTGGTCGGAATTCCTACTGAACCATATACACCATCCTACACCGGATGAGGAGCAAGCTTTAGCACTGCTAGCCGTCCCCGCGGCGGTGAACGAGCGCTATTTGTATGCATCCCAAGTTTCGAGATATCTAATGCTAATAGATGCAGCTTCGGGACATAACTTAGCTGGCACTTCGGCAGCCGCCGCGCTGTCAGGGCCATGGGCCGCATTGGGCACTACACGTCGTCTTTGCATGGCTGCTAGCCGACCAAATAGGCATCGGCGCTGCTACGTTCGGCGCAAGGCGAGCTATATGCAAAGCTCACGTCCATCCGCTTTGAGCCGATGGTAAGCGTCGGCGGCGGAGGCCAGAGCGCGGAGGCCCGTCGTAGGAGATATCGAGATCGGCGAGCCGGGGGGCAACAGCTGGCTGGTGGTGGACCAAGACGATCGACGTCGCGAAGAATTCGGATCGGCCTCTATCGTAGAGGAGAATGGTTTGAGATTGACGACGGACGGGCCTTAACTAAAAGTCTTTCTTGCGCAACGTGTAGTAGCGCACCTCTACTGCGCCAGATGACCGACCTAGGAAGCGTTTATATATCTCCTTCCGCTCCGTACCCTGCTTATCTTTTAATGAGAGTAAACGGCGGGGAGTGAGATGAGATGGAAGCGGAGCCCACTTTCTCCCCCTTATCGCCCATGATAGCAGGTCCGCCCCATGCCTAGGCTGACGGTGCAGTCCACTGTGCTGCTCGTCGCGCTGCTCGTCGGCATCCTGTCTGTCGAAGCCGTGGTCTCGCCGCCTTGCTCGTCGGCTGCCTGCCCATGCTCGCTGTATACGAGGCTACACTAAGTGCTGCGACGGCTGCTTCACCGGGTGGCTTGCAGGCTGCAACAGCTGTTGTTAACATATTAGCACGCGTCTCAGGCAGTTTGCGTAGGATGTGGTTGCGGGTATGCAAGCCTCTGTCTGGTACGGCCAGAGTTGTGGAAGCCTGATGCGATGGCCTTGAGTCACTGCTCAGACGCCGTACTGTTCGGATTGGGCAGTATTGCTTACGTCTCACCGATTTAACTAACGCGACGCTATTAATTGTGAATAGCAGCAGCTGACCAGCTTGGACTACGAGAAAACTGTTGCATCGAAGGCCGAAAAGTCCTATTACGCCCACTTGATCCCAGCTTCGTTTATTTTGCTTTCGTGGGCTCAGTGTACGCTCTAATATTCCAATACGAGAGTGGGGCCTGAGATACCATGGATTATGCCGTCTTCGGCAGATGGGAGAACTCCTCGAAGACCCAGGCCATAGCCACGTCCACCGCAAAATACAGGACAGGAGAAGGAACGCCTCATTTTCGGAATCCCGTCGCGCCAAGATGACCACTTCCTTCAAGTGATCCCGACCCTTCAAGCCCTCCTACTATGTATGCTGACTCGGCTCCGTGGTCTCATCCGCCTGCACGTCCGGCGCTTGTCAGCGCTCTGCAACTGGCTGGCCCACGGCGTGGCATTCTTGCATAGCCGCTTTCCCTTTGGAACAGTCCGCTACGGCACCTGCGCATAACTACAATCCAGCCACAGCGCGCAATCTTCGGGCTGCGTCGACATCATGAACGATGACTTGTGGACTCCAATCTCCAAGTTGGCAAGCGGAGTTGGGGCTTCTGTGTTGTTAGAACTCTTTATTCCAGCCTCTTCCCCGGTTCATGCACCACGCAAACGGTCCTGACGTCGTTGGAGGCTACAGCGAATGGGCCCCAGGTCGCGGGCAAGAAAAGCCTGAGGAGGACCTCTTCCATAAGTTCGGCAAGGCTCTCACCAAGGCTGGCCTCCCGATACCCGCACACCACCATGATCTCGAGCCATCAGACGTCATCATCATCGATCTTTGCTAGCGCTTCTCGTCCTTGACTATCTGGCCTGCTGTCTTTCTCCGATTGTTAATTGCACCGGCCACGCTACGCTCGAACGATCCGCCGCGACGAACGCATGCCGAAAGGGCCATCTCACCGAACTCGTCAAGCACTGAATTTCCAATTGAAAGTTTGCAAGTTTGTGCTCCTAAACATATGCTCCAGCGTCAAAGCCAACATGCAGCCGCATTCCGAGGCTAAGCGGAAAGCATCATCATAGATCTAGGGAAAGCGTAACCTCGCCCGGGGTCTTGCTCAAACGGACTTTCCACGAGTATATAGATTACGGCTTACGTATCGCCAGAATACCGCCGACCCTCTTCGCTTCCAGAATCCCTTGCCGATAGTCTCCCTCGCCGCCGGCTTATCACGGTTCCCGCTTTCTACACAGCCTGTCTTTACGCTTCACACTTCCAGCTTCCTAATGTATTGGCTTCCTACCTTCTACGGCTCCCATCTCCTCCATTCCCATCCATCACCGCCTAGACCATTAGCTTTCCGCGCTTCCAATCTCGGCTTCGAGGGTCTAGGGCGAAGAGTACAGAGAAAGAGGCCTGTGACAAACACTCCACGGCAAAAGCCCTCCGGCGAACGGTACACGAAGACGGAAAGAGCGATGCCTCCAGAAACGCCGGCCCGGGGGGGTGGGGGGAGGCGGCTCGCCGCGGGATGCACACGAGCTCCGCTTCGCCCCTGCTCCGCTTCGTAATCCCATGACTCGAACGGTCCAGACGGCTGCCGAGACGGGTACCCGCTTTGATAACCATACAACGAACCCTAAACTCATGGCCGGCTTATCCCCCTCGCGCTCCCAAAACACACCGATATAATTCGTACGCATACACCGCAGCGGGGCACTCGCAGCTGGCTCGGTACAGCGAGGGGAACATGAGGATCATCGTTTTTATAGTTTCTTCTCTTCACGTTTGGATTACCCTATTCATCCAACTTTACTCTTCCTTCTTCTTCTTCTTCTATTCTAGTCGTCGCACTACGGATTTCCGTGCGAAAAGCGGGGCCACACCTTCACCTGGTTACGCCCTTCCTACAAATTTCCCAAGACCTCCACTGGCTTCGACACCGCCCTCCATTCACCTTTCATCAGTCACGGCGTTTTTACACGTACCTCAAGACCTCCATCAATTTCGGCACTTGTACATCAATACTAACATCGACGGGTTCAGCTTATTCGGCCAGAGATTGTATTCGTTCGAAACGGGGTTCCAGTTCCTGGTGCGTCATTGCGAGCGCGGCGCATGTCGAGGCGGCAAGTTCGGGCGATCTTCCTAGTTGCTTTGTCAAGAAGGCGAAAGAGGTTGCGAGTCTCCGGCAATGCTTTACGGTTTTCCTCAAGGGCGGTATCGCCCGCTCAGGACCCTAGTTCCGAGTAGTAGTTACGTCGTCAGCAAAATCAGTAGCAGCGTCCGGGAAACACTCGGATCAACCGGTGGGGAGAAGGCGGCGCGCTCAGTCCTCTCAGCCGCCCGCAACCGGGTAGTGGCGCATGTGGGGACTCGTCTGTGCGAGTGCCATCCATCATCATAGCTTCCCTTCGAGTACATCGCTAACGCCTCTGAAGGTCTACCGCGGCCTCTATTTCTTCACTTCCGCGCCAGACAGCCCTCCGCCACATACTACCGAACTCAACATGGCTTCCGATAGCATTCCCGACATTGGAACCAAAGAGTCTAATGGTCGCTGACGATTCAGGCGCGGAAACAAGCCCCCTCGAAGTCGTCAGCGGGCTCTATAGTAGTAATGGATCCCGCTAACGTTGAACTAGCGCTTGCTTGAGCTACATAACGAGCAGCTGCATGCGCAAACCGACACCCTCGTGAGACACAGCCGCGGCTGCAGCGGAAGAGGACTGCCGGCGGTGGCCATGGACGGTAATCCCCACCTTCCTCTCCTTCACACGTCCGACTACTGCCGAGCCACAAACAGCCAGTCAAGGCCAGCGCCATCAAGCACCTCGGAGAGATTCCCAACCTCAGAACAATGACCGAGCAGATTGGCCAGTACATCCTAGACTATCTACAGAATCACCGCAAGGACCATAGCAATCTTTCGCAGCGGTGTTGCAGATCGTGAACGTCGCTGCTCACTTCAGAGAGACGGATGTAAACAGATAAACCCGGTGATCTTCACACATACATGAAGAGGATTCTTTTCGACAGTACGACGTTTTGACATTGCACCATGAAGGATCCTCGGGAATGCGCGGTGAGAGTCCAGCCCGCGACTGCGACTATCGCCCCCGAGGCTGTGAGATTGCGAGGCTTAAGAAGGAGAATTTGGATGCTGAAGTTGAGGCGTTGGCGAAGGAGCTACGAGTTGACGAGGATCAGGAGGAGGAGCGCGAAGCGTGAAGCCGTGGATGATAGAGTGGAGAAGAGAGATGATATAGCTGCGAGGCGAAGATTCTATTTGGAATGACCTGAATCCTGAACGCGGTCTTGGATTGCGGTAACAAGAGAACTGCATACTCACACCCTTGGTCGGCCTCGAAGATTTGGTGATGCCCTATTTCCACATGTCACGGATTCGCGACGGAACGTCTGGTGGCCCGTATGCGGTGCTTAAGCGGAGCGTTAATTACTTATAAGGCCCTTCAAAGCCCTCAACGCCTCATTACTTCTTTTTAATCGTCCAGTTCCGCCTACCATGCTCATTCCTAGTATCTGCTAACTAATCTACGTTGGTAGAAAGAATTGTTTGATTACCAATGGCGATAAACCGCCGACCTCACCGATGCATGCAATTGCAAGGACTTGGACTGAAGGGTGGTGTAGAGTCAGTTCGTCGCTACATGTACAGCCTTCATGATTGGTAGAGGTATGGCATTCGGAAGCCCTTTCGTGGTCGGTCCATGCCGGCGGAATCGCTACTCCCACCCGCCGCAATTGCCTCGCTGGAAACGTCCACTTTCCAATTGTCGGCCAACCTTTCCTGCACGCTTTTCGACACAGCCGCACAAAAGCGGTCAAGCCCCGCTGCCAATCCAAGCGTCTCGTTTCAAGCCTTGTCGATCAAAACCTGTATTCCGAGACCACAGCCACACTCCTCCGCGGCAATCCAGACCTCGGAGGATGAAAGCCTACCAGCAGTTCCGCGATCGTTGTCTCTTCGCGCTCCTAGCAAGACCACATGCAGGTTCGCTTAACAACTGGGCTTCTCTTATCTGATTTTGCGCTCCACGATATGATCTGCCCGACCGGGATAGTAGGGGAAAGAGAACGAGCCCTCTGCCCAGAGATTATCGACGAAACTGATGTCCTTACGAAGAGCAGGATAAGACCACATCAAGTATCCAAAGCCGGGCTACACCGAAATTCTTGGAGCATTTTTGGAGTGTATGGTGCTCGATCCGCTCGTTTCCAATTGCGGAGTGCTGCATGCATTCCCTGGGGGCTATGCATCACCTCGTCGAGCCTCTGTGTCCCTTACCCCTTTCGCTGCTTCTGGTCCGGCCCACTCCCGACCATGTCTGCCGCCCCAGGCCGCCGGATTCCGACAGTAAGAGCGATAGCGGGGATATGCCGCCTCTATGGCGC